TTGTGTGCGATTCTAAGTTGAGGGCTCCACTTTGGAAGTGTATTGGGAAAGGCCATGGCCGAATTGGAAAGCATCGCAAGCATCCTGGTGGTTGTGGAAATTCTGGTGGCCAGCACCACCACCGAATCAACTTCGACAAGTGAGCGAACCACGTGGAAGTGCTTGTGTGAATCATTTGGGACACATCAACTGATCTATGCTTGCCTTCCAGGTACCATCCAGGTTACTTTGGAAAGGTGCCTGTTCTGAAAAGCAGTGGAATCGAGCTAGGATTTGCTTGATGTGCCGCATGCATACTTACGAAATGGTAGCCTAAGCTACCCGAGTTGCATGTTGATGTTTTTGCAGTGAACTCTACTCCTCCTCGCTGGAACGGTGCACGTCTGCTGCTGTGAGCAGGTCGGTATGCGCAACTTCCATCTCATCAAGCATGGCAAGGTCATCCCGATCGTCAACGTGGAGCGATTGTGGTCATCTTCTTGTGCTGTGTGTTCACAACTTCAGCACATGTTGGGTATGGGCATGCCCATATTCTATGGCTAAATGGAGTGGACTGAGGTCCTTGGTGTCGGAGAAGACACGTGAGTACTACAAGGACTCAAAAGAATTGAGCTGGTTCCTTGCACAATCTCGTTCCAAGATGCATGTAGATCACGATCAGTTTACACATTCCGTTTCGTTGTGAGGACAAGACAGACAAGGCCCCAGTGATCGACGTCATGAAGGCTGGCTACATGAAGGCTCGTGGCCTTGTGGCAAATCTGCGTGATGCAGCTAAGCTGCTTGATTTTGGAGGTTGTCGAGTTTTGTTTGGACTTGTTGCTTGTGATAGTGGCATTTGGATGCATTTGGTGCCAATGTGTTGCAGGTGTGTGGAAAAGGCAAGCTGCCAGAACAGCCTGTGATTGTGAAAGCTCGCTATTTCACGAAGGAGGCCGAAGGGAGCACAACAGAATGGTTCTTAAACACATGCAATGCAAATCAATGGCCGAGTTGGCCGTGATGAGGCTGAGGAAAAGATCAAGGCAGTTGGTGGTGTTTGTGTGCTTTGTGCATAGAGTGAGAGACATGACTCGAGTCCAATTTGGCTGGTCTGCTACGCGAGCGAGAAAAGGGTGTTTGCGTGCACAGGACTTGAGTGACTTCAATGGTGGTGTTGCCATTTGTCGTTGCTGTGGACCTGAAACTAAGGCCGCAACTCATTTGTCCAGGCACAGCGTATGGTTGCTACTTTGAGCCTTTTGCGCTGCTGGTGCTGCGTGAGATGAACATGAACGGTTCAACTTGACGGATCGATTTGTGCTGCTTGTGCTGCCAGCCACAGACGAGCTGCTCGTTCCTATCCCGAGCAAGGAGAAGCGATGTTCACCATGTGCCGTGCGTGCCATGCGTGCCGTGGCGCTCTTCAGAGACTGCAGGATCACTCAGAAGCTCACCTGCGAGAGCATCTCCGGTTGGTTTGAGCCTCATTGTCTTCCGAAGCTGGACATCCATGGCCCAAACACGCCGAAAGGTACTGACATCGCCAGACGGCTCAGGTGTTCCAGACGGGTGGGTCAACACAGCTGAATCGCTGTCTGCCTCTTCGGTTGGGAATGGCGCTGCAAGGTGGCAGCCCTGGACGATGAATCAACACCTGACCTGGAACGTATAATTAGTGGGTGTCACTGATCACTCTCTCACGCATGCCATAATATGCTTTGAATTTGTGTGCATTAGACGTCACAATGCTAAGGTTGTTACCGCAGGAAGTTAGACCCTTTCCAGCAGTTGCTTGGCTCCAAGTCATTTTCGCATTTCCCTTGTCGCCATGGTAGCTCAGGTGTCGGGGGAGAAAGTTCAGGACGTCCTCTTTGGCGTATTTGCCTCAGCACTTCAAGTGCAAATTCTGAGTGATATTGTGAAGGAACCAGCGGTGAGCCAGACAAGCCATGTGAATGCCTTCGTGGACGGCTGAGATGCTGACAAGCACTTTCTCAGAGCATAGAAGGAAGATTAAGTTGCAATGTGCACCATCAGGCACCATCAAGCTTGCAAAAACCTAGTGTACATAGGTAGATACTGTAGGTACATCAAAGTTGATGATTCTGGTCTTGCTCTTTTTCATGCTGAGCCTCACACCTGGAAGTGAGGCCGATGAAGCGCGTCCACCCAGGCTGGAGAACACTAGGAAAGATCCTTTGAGTTTTGAACATGTGGAGCGCAGAATTCAATCCAACAAAACACATCAGCGCCCCATTTTCTGCATTTCCAAGAACAGAAACAACTTGTAATTGCGATTCTCATCATTTCTGCATTCCCAAGGATTTTGCGTTCTTTTTCCGATTTGGGACCTTCGCAGGCAGCCTGCTCGGCGTCCCAATACCGAGAAGACCGTGGAGAAGGCCCAATGGCATTGGTCGGACACTGCGGAAGACGGAGCGAGCTGCGTCAGGAGAAGCCTCGGAAAGCTCCCAAAGTGGAGGACGCAAGTGGACGACCCAAGGCGCAGCCTGCATCCAAGGCGCGAGCTGCGCCTTGGATGCGGCTCTGGCAGTGATTGCGGCATTGACTTTGACGCTTGACAGGTTGGAGTACAACGACCCATCTTGAGCTCATCTGGGGCAGAATCAGCTAGCAGAAATATTGCCCACGCGACTTGGACCAAGTTTTTAGAGTTGCTTGTACCAAAGGATTGATCGAATTTGGGTGGGATCGTCACATGGAAAGGTTGGAGCTCCGCGGCACACATTAAGCTCGAGCTCAGTGTCGAGTTCGGCTGCGGGGATGAGCAATAGGCCACCCAAGGCAGATGCTGATGAAACGGCCTCCACCCTAGTAGCGATGGCCTCCACCCTACTAGCGATGGCCTCCAAACAAAGAATAGTTCACTTTGATTTGTTTCTTTGTCTATTTGCTGATAGGCAGGATCTCAGCGGCATGCATTCAACCCCGACTCAGCATTGGGCGTGTCAGAAAGCAAAGTGCCAATCAAGGCAGGAGATGCCGTTTGCTTGTGGCCTTCCTGACTGGAACCAAGCCGGACTTACATTTGTGGCCTCATGTTCAGGGCAAAAAGCAATGCCAACAACACACAACAATCACAGTTGGTGTCACTGTCGCCAGAGGCACCACGGCCGGCGCTCAGCTCGCTTAGCTCGCTCGGCTCCAGCACAACGTCCGGTGTTGCTGCGGTTGGGAGCCCTGCACTACTTTACGGCAACCAGGCTGACTATCCTTTTGGGAGCTTCTCAATCGTTCTGGTTCCTTGTATACGTTTTCTTCCAATTTCATCCCTCAACTACAAGAACCATTTCAATTGCGTGAAAGGCTGGAAGTCGGCAAGCAAGCTCTACAGCAACCGCTACGAAGGCGACAGATCTTCGAGATCCGCTGCGAAGCCGGTCGTGAAGTGCTTTTGCCCGTCCTCGCCGTACGGCGTCTCACCGGTCGTGTCTCACCGGTCCAGCGTCCACAGGCTCAACGGCGCTCTCTCGGCGCAGCGCCAGCGCCGACAGCTCTTCCAGCGCCACAGGTGGGTGAACGCCAGGGGGAGCGCGGCCGGCAGCTCCGGGAGCTCCGGTTGTGGCGTGTCAATGCGGCTATTTTCCACGAAATCGGTCAATTGCTCCGCCTGCTCGCCGAGTCATTTTGCTTGAAAAACCGCCCTCACGTTTCATAGACCCTTACGTTGGATCTTCCCTGCAGCCCTCAGCCAGGTTGAAATGTGTAAGGCTCGAGCTCCCCAAGCAAGCTCTGTGGCAAGAAGCACCACAAGTAGCCAGGCACAAGATTGCATGCGAATTCATTGGCCACAATGCTTGTGCCAGTCATACGAGAACGCATACTCTTCTTTGCTCAGATATCAGAACAAGACAGCAAGACAGACAGAAGAACATAAGAATCAATTATATATATACATATATCTTTTCTTTCTTCGTTTTGGCGCTCTCCCTCTCTGCAGGCTGAGACTGAGAAGGCGGCAGCTCCTGTGGCTCCACAAGCTCCAGCGGCTCCCCAGGTGGAGTTTGATCGATGGTAGGATGGTGTGAAGACGTCGGATGATCTGAAGCAATTGGACTCAAGTCGTCTCAAGCTGAATGGTGACTCCTTGAGCCCTCCAGTAGGCTCCTTCGGCTGAAGCAGCTGGAAGCCAAGAGTACAGTGCCGCGAGACCTTTGCATGTTAGGAGATGTTAGGATTTTTGCTCGACATTTTTAAAAGCATATTTTTACTGTTGTTTTTCTCGCAACGCTTTCCCATAGTAAACACAAGACCACCCAACTAGGATACTAGGAGGCTTGCTCTTGAGACTCTTGAATATACACCATAGAAAAGCTGATTTGAGTACAAAGATGGAGTCAAGCATTACTCTGTAGTTAATTTCTGTTGTTCCTCACCATTTTTTGGTGCTGATGGTTTCGTTACGTATATATGTTCTTCTCATGGCCCATCTTATTTGGGGCAGCAAAAAACTGCAGCTTTGTTCATCATACTTCTAGCACCTTCCGCGTCTGCCAAAGCACCAAATCGATTCTTTCTCTACCCGGAGCCGGCGCCTAGGCCGCCGCAGCCGAACGCTTCGAAGCGCGGGAAGCAGAAGAGCTTAGACGGGAGCGAGAGGAGGTGAGCGGCTCGGTGAGATGCTTGTCAGATCGTTTTTAATAGCAATGGCCTGCCTCCATCCTAATAGCGATGGCTTCCAACCTACTAGCGATGGCTAGGGACGGCCTCCAACCTACTAGCGATGGCCTCCACCCTAATAGCGGCGGCCTCCACCCTATCAGTAGCTGGATATTCAATGCATCAATGCATCCATTTCATAGAAGATGCGATTGAAGATGGTCGTTTTGCAGGATTCTTTTCAGCTTATGCACTGATGCACAGCTATTTGAGCTTATTTGAGTCTCTTTCGCAGGCGGAGTTCAAGCGCAAAGAAGCTGAGGTTGTCTCAGTGCATTTGTTTCACTTAAACCGACGTCAAGACCGTCGGCCAGGCCAGTGGCGAACGTGAGAGTGATGCCCTCGTCACAGCCTTGCAGGCCGAATCGATCGTGAAGGGTCGGTGAATTCGGCGAGTGACACGGCTGGCTGCGGAGAAGTTGCCCTAGGCTTTGCGAAGACTTCACCTAAAGCGTGATCCTTCTGAGCTTGCCACATGCTTGTAGGCCTCTTAGGTCAGAGAAGAAATGAAACTGCCCATCTCTCAGCTCTTTTCTAAGGCAGACGCTGCGGGCTTACATCAGCAACTTAGCCAAACACCCACAGGCGACCGGAAAGAGGGTTGACCGGCGCTGCCGGTCAGGCGTTTTCACCGGTCGGTCTGCAAGATGATTTGGGTGCCACAATACCAGTGACACCAATGACTTGCAGGAACCAAAGTACCAGTCCATCAATTGTGCTTCCCTTGGGTGTTCTTGGATTGATTTGGCAGGTGACTGGGTTTTCGGTGTCTCTTTTAACATGCGTGGCAAGCACTTCCAAGGCGAGAACAACAACTTCCGCAGCAAGGTTGCATCTGTGGAAGGGGCCATTGCAGTCTTAGAGGCCAACGAAGCCACTATGTCATTCAAAGATGGAAGCAATGCAACATTTGTTGCTCGATTCAAAGCTTTCTCAGTTTGGAGAGGCCTGTGGATTTGTTGCAGATGGGACGAAGCTGTTGGTCAGACTGAGCAGATTTGCACCCTGCTTTTTTCGGAAGCTTTTTTCAACGCTTCAGAGTTGGATGAAGCTTCAGATGAGGTTCGTAAAAAGCATCAGACTGGGCGACCTGAGGTCGATGCGGAATTTCTGAAGACGAAAGGGCGGAAGCTTTGGGACGCACTGAGTAAGGCCAGCATTTTCGATCTTGGGCTTTTTTTGTCCTTCATATTCATTCTTTGCCTCGCAGAGGTGGACTTGATCCTGGAGCAAGTGAAGCAAAGTGCATAATCCGAGTCGAAGATTCGCAAGTTTCCAGTGACTCGATGCCCCTCAGCTTCTTTGGTTCACAAGATTGGTCAAGTTGCGGGCTGGCTTGACAGAGTTGTAGAACTTGAGAGGAGATTTCTCTTTAGCGTAGCTAAATGTTCTTATGTTTCATTGGTCAATGTTCTGGTAATTGATTGCACTTGGGTGATTGCAAAGTTGCAGTCTCAGAGTCCAAAGTAGACTCAAGACACCATCGGCTACCTAGGTGTTTCACCTAAGTGCCCACTGGTGCATAGATGGGTGTTGTGAGATTGAACAGCCCTCCGCACCCAGTGCAAGAAATAGAAAAAAGAGGAACAGCACGTCAAAAGTCTGAATTCTGTACATTTTAAGTAAGCAAATCATGCCCGTCTCCATCATTTCGGAACATCCGACAACAGCTCCCGGGAGCTGCAGGCAGGAGCCTTGACATTTCTCGGTGACTGCTTGGAGGAGGCCAAGACTTACCAACAATTGATCAGGTGGGTTATCCCAGACTTGCCAGGTTGTGGATGTGATGAGATCAGATGTTGATCGGCCTTACTCTCAGTGGCACATCAAAAGATCTTCCCAACTTGGGCGTCCTTGGAGGTCTGACCTCTCTTCAGCTGTGAGGGCTTGTGAATGCCTTGCGATTCTGGGTGCCTTCTCAAGGCTTCAGGACTGATCGGATGTTCAACATATGTCGGGTGCATGAAGCCCATGCGCTACCCTGAGGGAGTTCGACTGGAAAACCATTCGTTGCTTTTATTGAGGGGAGAGAAGGTGCTGAAGTCGTTTCTATGAATGTGTTTTTTTCTGCAGAAATCGGGTTTCCCCAATGGATTTGACGTGAGCTTTGTTTGGAGGAGGAGACTGAGCTCTACCGCGTGCCACAAGGCCCTGTTCCGACGCGGTGCATAAGGAAGGAGTTGTTTGCGGTGTTATTTTGCAGAATTTCAGAAGAAGTGCACCATGGAACGGTAACCCTTAAATGCTTGTCCAGTTTCACATGAGCATTGCAGGACTGTTTCCTCTCATGCTAGGGAATCACCAGTTAACCAAAAGGGTTCTGGTCAAGGACAGACTTGTCATGCGAACGTTTGGCTCAAGGCCTCTGCGAGAAAAGGCGCGTGCGGGCGTCGGGTCTCGCGTTTTTGTGGTTATCAGCCTTAGGCTCTGTGCCTACGGTTGTGCCGTCGCCATTACCTCCTACGTTGATCCGAGCGTTGAACCAACTGAGCTGATTGGCGACACTCTTCGGCGTTGCGTGCCAGCTCCGAGGGGCGGGAGGCGAGGGTACAACCAGAAGCTGAGGCATTTGCAAGAGGGGATTGCACAAGGGCTTTACTCGAACAGATATTCTTTTGTTCTTCCTGGCGGACACGCCTACGCTGCGCGTATTTTCAATTGTTGAGTCTGTTCTACAGGGTGGACAGGATTGGGGAGAGACTGAATCCGAAGAGGAGGAAGCAGGATCTTCAACCGTTCTTGAGCCGCCGGCCCAGAAGGCGAAGCCAGCGCCACCGATTGTTCCAGTCTTTGCGACACAGGTCATTTCGGTGCCATCGAAGGCAACAGTTGAGACATCACAGATTGTTTCGGTGCCGGTGCCAGCAAAGCCGAAGGTGAGACTTGCGACAACTTCTAAAGGAGTTCCGCAGAGCAGGGCTACAGAACTTGGAGTCGAGCGTGAGGTTACAGAACTGAGTGCACGGAGCGTCGCGATTCATCAGTCGAAGGCGGCATCATCAGGAGACTTGGAACCGATCCGAGAGGTGATTCGTCCGACAGAGGTGCTTCGTCCGACATCCACTCCAAAGGCCATTGCGAAAGTCTTGCCAAAGCCGCCACCAAAGGCGGCTCCGACAGCAGCAGCTGAAGCGTCGACTACATCGAAGTCGCCGCCTCCGAAGGCGACGCCTGTGCAGTTGTTGAGGCCGAATCCATTCTTGCTCCCGGACGGAGTTCTTGCCTACGAGAGGTCGCAAGGCCGGGCGGGCGATAGCTTTGAGGAGTTGAGATCGTATTGGGACTTCAACGGATTGTTGCCGGGAAGTGGAGTTGAGCGCAAGTTCATTCTTTTCCCCGATTACCATCAAGTGCTTGACAGAGGCGTGGCCGAGTCAGCATCGTGGATGCATAAGATCCCAAGAGACAACGTAGTTTTCTTGAGACGTGCGAAGGAGTCAGCAGAGCGTGTTTGGGGCAATAAGGGTTCATTGTTGATCTTTGTATTGAGCCACATTGAGACATCTTCAAGAAATTTGGAGGGACTCTTGAGAGCTTGCAACGGTACAAGTGAGATCATTGAGGAGGACCTGATTCAAGCATTGTTCGTGACTCGTGAGAGGGAAGGGGTGACAGGTAAATTGGCGACGGCCAGAAAGATCTCCCGAGGCTTTTTGATTCCGATTTGCATTGTGGACGACAACGTCCGTGTGATTGCAGAGTTCGCAAAGGCCCAAGAGCAGCTCAATCCGACAATCCATACTGCGCACATCAAGCTGAGGAGGAAGCCATCGGCCGAAAGAGCTGAGGTGGTTAGGCCCTTTTTTGGCAGGTTGCAGTGAGGACTTGGAGAAGCTGTTCCGACACTATCAACAATGATTTCGTCAGGAGAAATCGCGCCGGCGTCCCAGGGTTTTGCCGTGGCAGCAAGTACCCCAGTTGCAGATATATCATCTAGTACTGACCCCATGGAAGAAGACCAACCAAGGCCCAGTTTTGTTCAGGTGCAAAAACAAACACTGAACCAGTTGAACGTCGTTGCGGACCCAGCCATTGTTGCCGAAGCTCACCAAGAGATCGCCAGGGCTAGATTAGAGACTCAAAGGGCAGCTCTTCTTTTTCGATAGTGCAGTCCGGGATGCAAACCAAAGGGTTGCAATGGTCCAAGGGAATTCGCAGGCACAAGTGGCAGATGTTCAAAGAACAGCTCCCGGGAACCACCGCCTGAACCTGTGCATCCAGACGATTTGCCTAGAAGCAAAAAGCCGTTGAAACTACCAAAAAAGGTCCCGCACTTCGGTAGTGTTAGTGAGGCAGATGAACTCTTTGCTTCCGTTCCTGAAAGGGAGCCAGGCGACACTGCGTTGGACTCAGAGGATTTCCTCCATCCATGGACTCCATCGCTTAGACAAAAGCTAGAGTTACAGGTCATCAACTGACCCACTTCCCCAAAAACAGATATTGCGAAATCTGTAGGAGAAGCAAAATGCAGGCCAAGACACACCGAAAGAAGGGATTATACTAGAAGTCCCCTTTCCACTATGGTCATAGGTTAAGAGCAGATCATATCATCATTGGCAAAGACTTGTCCAAAGGTTCCAAAGCTGAACAGGCTTGTCTAGTGTGTTTTGATGAGTATTCGGGTTGTCTACAAGCGTTTCCACAAACAACTAGGACAACAGACGCAAACATCGGGCTTTGCAAGCGTTCGGAGGTACAAACATGGGAAAGCACTCTGTATCACAAAGACAGATGCAGCGACTGAACTTATAGATGCTGTAAAGTATTTGGGTTGGTTGCCAAGTCCTAGTGTTCCAAATGACCCCGTACACAACGCCAAACTCGAAAGAAGCATTCGTTCCATAAAGGAAGGCGCAAGAGCAATTCTTTTGAAATCAGGTTTGGATCATCAGCACTGGCCTAGAGCAGTAGAGTATTTCTGTGTAGCTCACGCAATCACCAACCAAGCTCAGATTCACCCAAACGAGTCTGATGAAAAGAAGATTGAACAGAGCACTCAGTCTTGCTATGAAGCTGCCGCAGGTGAAGCATTCACTGGGTTGAGACTTCCATTTGGTTGCCTTGTATACTACAAACCTCCAAAACACCGTGAACTTCCCGCATTCGAGCCAAGGACATATCCAGGCATCTTTGTGGGTTGGAGGATTGATGCAGGGTTTCATCACCGAGATGTCCAGAGTCTTCTTTCAAAAGCCACGGGTAGTGGCAGGTCCATTCAAATCTACAAGTCAGAGCTTGTTGAACGCACCGAGGCAAATTGGGTCTTCCCACTGTTCGCAAAGATGAACCAGTTGCAGCTTTTCAAACCAACGATCACACATCCCTCGAAAGAACCCAAGGAATCGCTGCCGTTCGAAGGTGACCCTCCTGAGCCTAAAGTGTTCAAAAGACGGACATATATGACTTTGGAAAGGGCCAAAAAGTATGGTGTAACCCCAGGCTGTAGAGGATGTGAGCGGATAGCTGAAGGAGTGCCGCGCACAGATGAATGCCACGAGAGGTTCCGAGTGTGCCTGGAAGAGGAGCGACTTGCAGCAGGTTCCACCAACCCCTCGTACCCCTGCGGTTTGTGAATCGGCGCCCAGCGCTCCCGCGATGCCAGCTTTGGATTTGTCAGAGTCCAAGGGGGGCGGGGATGGGGATTTTTGGGAGTTCAACACGGATAGGAAAGCGTGGAACGGGTTCATGAGACCTCGAGAGAAGCTTTTCGCACCCCTAGGAAGAGATTGCCCATTTGACGTAAGTGATGTTTCTCATGAACGTCTCACAGAATGGAAGTGCAGAGGGAAGGTCTCTGTCCACAAGGACGACTGGAACGAGTGCCCATACCAAAGGACAAGTTCTAAGTCATGGGTAGGATCAACATGGTTCTTTCCCAGAGATCCCTTCATCAATGAACCACAAGCCAAATTGTTTGCAGCGACCGCCAATCTTCTTGAAGGTGAACATAATGCCAAACCGGGTAGCTTTGAATGTCTTTGTGCATCCATGCTGGCAGAGTCTCCAAACCCGACTAAGCTGGCTGAAGAGATTCTGAAAGCCACAGAAGATGTGCCAGAAGCAAGGACACAAAAGGATAGATGCAAGATTCGTGAAAAGTGTAGGACATGCTTTGAGTTTTGCTGTTCCAAGAATTCGAGCCTTGGGGAGGTAAACATGGATCGAGGGATAAACCACTTTAGACTTTAGACTCTCAATAGACCAAACAGACATGTCTAGCGATGTTGAGGTGGACTGCTTGATCAACATTATGCACCAATTCAAGGGGGCGGACTTGTATGGTTCCATACCGTGTGGTCCATGGTCTAGTTGGCAAAGGTTGAACTGTCAGCAGTATGGTAAAAGGGCCCAGCAAAAGTTGAAGAAAGATAGAAAGAAATCTCTTAAGATTCTTAGGAACTACATCAGGTGTGCAGAAGTCATCATGCAAAATGGTGGCCATTGTGCATTTGAGTGGCCGAAGAGCGCTGGGGGGTGGAAGATTCCTGCGTTACTACAATTTGTGAAAAGAAATCGCTTGTTTGTGTCAGAACCACAAGGATGTGCTTTTGGTATGTGTGACAAAAACAATGTTCCTTACCTCAAAACATGGCGAATAGTAACTTCTTGTTGGAAATTGGCAAAGAATCTCAATGCGCGCAAATGCAAGCATGAAAAGGGGTTCAAGCATGCTCCAATAGCAGGAAGCGTTACGCCCAAGAGCGCATTCTATCCGTTGCCTATGGCGCGATGCGTTTCCGATAGTCTATATGAAGCCGATATTCCAGCTATGCCAGTAGAACTTAAAAGTGAACCGGTAGGGCATGAAGAGTTCTTACTTGATGAAGTTCTTGCCGCAGTGCATTTGCTTTTGAACAGGAATGAATGGCGCAAACACCCACGCTGGGAAGAAGCAATTCAGAAAGAGGCTAGTGGAATTAATGCTAATAACACATGGTCTTTCGATGAAGTGATCTCAAGAAATGATCTCGTCGCACGTTCTAAGGCGAAGGGGGAAGCTATAAACATTGGTAAGCTATCAGTGAAGAACTTCGAAACCCCAGAGCTTAGAACACTGAAGGCCAGGATAGTGTTTAGAGGGGATGACATTCGCAATGCAGATAACACACTTGCAGTGCTTCAGGAAGCAAAGGTCAATCCAACCGGACTTGCAGGCATCAACTTGAATCTCGTTTATGGAGCTTCACACGGTCATAAGACCGCGCAAAGTGACGTGACTCGTGCCTATACTCAATCCTTGCTCAAGACAAAGGTACCCACGTGGGTCGAACTGCCAAAAGAGTTGACTCCCAAAGAGTACTCTCATTTGGAGCGACCATGCGTGCGCCTTGTCAGGGTCTACGGGCATCCTGAAAGTGGAAGGCGTTGGGATAAGAGGTTTAAGGAAATAATGAGTTCTATGAATGGTATTCATTTAGATGACTTTCAGAGCAGTTATTGGTTTCCCAAAGAAAAGCTGCTTATGACTTTGTATCAGGGCCCCAAGAAGCGCATGAAGGCTTCTGGAAGGAGCTGGCTAAGCATCTAGAATTTGACGAACCTACTCCAGTTGGTCGCATTCTAGGAAGAAAACATGAGGTGAACCGGAATGAAGAAGGTACAACAGTAAGGTGTTCTTTGGCAGATTTTGCAAAAAGTTCATGTGAAGCGTATGAAGCTCTCCCAAAACAGAAGCTCACAAAAGCGTCAACTCCATATGTTCCAGACGGGTCACTGTTGGACACTGACTGGGAAACAAAAGGGGTTTTGGCTGAAAACGCATCAAGAGTCCTAATGAAGATTCTGTGGATGGCAAGGCTGTGTCGCCCAGACCTTATGAAAAGCATTGGAGACTTAACCAAAATCGGTTGCAGATGACAAGCGCTGGTACAGACTCACGGCCTATATAAACTCTACACAAAACTATGTTCTGGAGGGGTCAATAAAGGATTCTATGGGCAACTTGCCTTTAAGCCTATACACCGACAGCGACCACTGTTTGGGAATAGAGCACATGCAGAGTACCTCCGGCATCTTGATGGCCATCGAAGGCCCTACAGTAATTCCCTCTACCCCATAAGTTGGGCAAGTCGCCGGCAAACGGCTACCAGCCGGTCAACGACGGAGGCGGAGACAATCTCCCTTGCGTCAGGGGTATTCAGCGAAGGGCTTCCAGCACAAGGTCTCCTTGACGCTTTGTTTTGCCGACCCACACTGCTTGCCTGTCACCAGGACAACGCAGCGGTCTTGCAGATCATTGAAGCCGGATACAGCCCGAAGCTTCGTCGTGTATCTAAAACCCATCGTCTCGACTTAGGATCTTTATACGAAGTCTTTGAGTCGCCTGATGCCACAATAGGGTATATCGCCACGGACAAACAAAGAGCCGATCCTCTGACAAAGAACTTGCCTCCTTGTCATTGGAGCCATGCACTTAGCCTTTTAGGTATCACTTCTTGAAGCATCCAACGCCATGCCGCGAGTAGCGCCCAAGCTCCGCAGTTCGGTAAGCCATGCCGTAGTAAGAAGGGGGAGAAGGAGTGCACCATGGAACGGTAACCCTTAAATGCTTGTCCAGTTTCACATGAGCATTGCAGGACTGTTTCCCTCTCACGCTAGGGAATCACCAGTTAACCAAAAGGGTTCTTCTGGTCAAGGACAGACTTGTCATGCGAACGTTTGGCTCAAGGCCTCTGTGAGAAAAGACGCGTGTGGGCGTCGGGTCTCGCGTTTTTGTAACAAGCAAACAACTCTTACTCTTACCCATTGGGCCCATTCGTCGGTGTTGCCTTGTAGAGCTGGTCGGGAAAGGGGGAACAGCAATCCCCTCCAGGTGTGATCCGATGTTTCAGCTATTTGCTGCAACATCTGTCCTCGAGAAGGGCCGAAGATGTGTCAGGGCCGAAAGGAAACGATTCTAAAGGACTTGAGGTTGACTACTTGATTACGGTTGATTCTTTGGAGTTTCAGAGACTTGGGGACTCAACCACAAGGCATCTCATTGCAGTTTCCCTTCACGTTCTGCGCAATGTGGCTGGGAACTACAAGGAGGCGGGAGATCCGGTTCCCGGACCCAGGTCGATTGAACTCGGGAGTGGCGAAGCCTTCGGAGCCGACTCGCGAGACAGGTGATGGATGGAAGCGCGGAAGCCTTCCGCGAATGTTTTGAGGGAAGCCTTCTGGCACAGGCCCAGGGCGACCAGTTGCGCATGTGTTTTGTCCTTTTTTGCGACGGGTCAAAACGATTTCAACGAAACGTGGCAGAGATGACCCGAAGAGTGGATGCCAGGGCCAGGGCACTGCCACATTTGGACAGGTGCAGACAAAACGAAGGACATATACATGCAGGAAATGTTTTTTTCACCTCAATTCGTGAAGAGTCTGCATGAGCACTCTGCTTGATCGTGCGAGGTGCTGCCGCAGCTGCCAGAGCCAAGTTCCAGAGAGGCAACTGTTGCAACGGTGTGAAACCTGGATCGGAAGAAGGATTCAGCATGCCATGAGTGGTACCAACGAAGGCGAGTGAAGGCTATTAGGTCTTGAACTGAACCAGCTGCAAACACCGGGCCTTTCCTTGCTTGGACTTGTTGCACGATGAAAGCGAGAAATGCCTCATTCTCTGCAGGAAAGGGCTCAGAGTTCAAGGCTATCTGCGTCCTAAACACCAGAGCTCGCCATGGTCGGCAGTCGCCACCTGATGTCTTCCAAAGTGCAGGGCACAGCCACCCGAGTTGCCTTGCTTGTGGCTGGTTGCCTGCTGATTGCAACAGCAGGGGATGCCTTTGTTGCCTCCCGTTCCTTTCAAGTGACCACACCTACGAAGCCCACACATCCTTCGGAAGTGAAGACGACCCAGCCGGCCCGCAGTGGATTTGTGGCACCTGAGCGCCAGTTCAGCCTTTTCAAAGCTGCCGCATCAGTGGCATTGCTGTGTTTGGCCGCAACACGGAGTAAAAGCAGGTCCAAGTCTCCCTCCATCCGCTATGCTGTGGTCGGTATGACCAGCACATTGCCCTCGAAGAGCCTTTCACCCTCGATGGACCTGATGCAATTCGATGACTCGGCCGCAAAGGAAGCGCAGCCTTGTGCCAAATCTATTCCGGTGATCTCCATGGATACTGAACCTTTGGCTGCGCCCTGCGCAGAGCCTGCGCCAGTCATGTCCTTGGATGCCACACCTTTGTCATGTGTACCTTCCGTGAAGAGTGATGATACTCAGACTCCTTTGGGAGATTCGCTATGTGGAAAAACCCCTGCCCGCTTTGTTGCGGGAGCCCGCCGTGGTCAAAGCCACGCTCGAACAGCGTCTGCTGGCAGGGCAGCCAGACGTGCAGTTGGCCAGCGCCTTTGCGCATCAATGCAGCACGCACCAATGCCTTCCACCTTCGATGCCAGCAAGACTCGCACCAAGATCCAACTTGGCCTGCGGGTATCCTCCTGCATGCGATCTGAAGCGGGCCGTGAATCCAAGGTTTCTTCTGGAGTTGAAGGATCAGAAATGATGGGCACATGCCTTAACTTTGTAGCACATGATTTAAAGGTATATACTGCTAGATTACAAGTCGGCACTGATTGATGCTATATATTCCCATTTTGGGAGTGTAGCAATATCAGCTACCCGGACCAGAAGCATGTACTGTGGCACCGCGGACCGAGAATGGCAAGTCTAGCGGCCGTGGTCGACTGTTCTTGCAGACATTCTCCTGATGGCTCAAAGGTCATGGATCCATGCTTCATAGCCCTCAAATAGGACACATGACAACTTATGACCAGCTATAAATGCTACAAATGTGTAACCTTGCTGCTTAGCATTTTCTGCATCATTGATGAGGGTTCTATGAAACATCTTGGTGAAGCTGCGGACCCGTCAATGCTTTTAACTTTTTGTTCAATTTGGCAGCCATGTTGAGCTGAACTGCCGATTTCTACCTTTTCCTCGTTTGTTTTGCTTCAGACCCAGATGAGTCTCGCAACTTCAACCTTGGGTACAGCTCAGCGACACCTTGTCTTGAGCATATATTTTCGTGGCAGACACAAAACGGTGTTGTTGTTTTGCATCTCGGTTCATAGAGGTTCATGCTGGCCTCATTCTTTGCCTGCCAATTTTCATAGCCGTTCTGGATGGATGGATGGTATGATTGGTTGAAAGGAAAAGCTGAGGATTGCACAGGATCACTGTAAATCACATGCATGGGTGCAGGCTTTCCTTCCAACCGCGTTCGGTGATACTTTGAACATCACCGAGCACCCACAAGTACCTTTGGTGCTGATAGTCGAGAAAAAGTTCCTCTAGCATTGCGCGTGCTGGTAGGAAGCATTGTACTCGATTGAAGTGGTAATTACCACTCCACCACAGACCATGTTGGAATTGTCCTTGTCAGAACCGTGTATGTTGCTAAGGGAGCTCGCCCTCAACTTGAATCTGAAGCTGCAGGGTGCTGTTGCTTCGTTTGAATTTAATGGTGCAGTGAGAAGATACTTTTTGCAGTGTTCAGCAGAGTGCTCCATTCTCTTGGCAGGAACCCGCAAGAAAGTGACGAGTGCCAGCTCGGATCAGAGGCCTCTAACTGGTGATGTACCTTGAAACCAGGACCCCGACAGTATGACCTTGCGGCACCAATGCAGGAGGTCCTCGCAAAGCGGCAGGAGGTGACGGAGGTCTCTAACTCCTTTTCGTCGCATTGTCTTGCGACTTTAATGTGTTCTACAAAGCCCTCCAGGTGCGACCAGTTTCTGCAAGTGTGACAGCAGCGACCGGGGCGCCGGAGGCGACAGTGAGTCATGGAACACACACACACAGCTGAGTTTGGCTGTTTCTCTTTCGGGGCAGAATCTCACCTTTCAAAACACCTTGGTCCTTCTGCCTTCAGCTTCAGGCTGCGTCAGGTTCATTTGTGAGGCCAGGATTCGAAGATCGTGAGAGAAAGTGATTGAGACATATTGAGACACAGCGAGAGAGAGAGAGAAAACACATGTTATATCAGAGATTGAGGGTGAAACAGTGCAGAGGTATGAGTGAGTTTCATGACCATTGAAGGAACCACTTGGACATTTTAAACTCGTTGCAGCATGACACCTTGCGCAGGTGTGATCAAAGGTTCGCACTTTCCTCCTTGTGCCTGCAGGCTGCAACCCTCAAAAATCAACTTCAATACCCCCCATGGTGTGTGTGTGTGTGTGTGTTTTATTGTTATTTTTGCCTTTTTTGGACACCCTGTGTCAACATGCGTCTTTGAGGCCATCTTTCAATCCACGGAACTTCTGCAGAGCCTACCGCTCTCTGAGGAGGACGTCCGCCGGAAGGCGCCCGCAGATTCGAGTTGCGACGTCGACTCCCGCCGCCCGGTGGCGACGGCTGCGGCTGGGTGTTTTCGCCGCCAGGTGATGGTGATGGCTCGGGAAGCACGCGACATCGAGTTGTCGGAAAGCCGAAGACGCAGGTGGAGAATGGTGTTTTTCCCCAAACAGTGTGCACACACTTAGGGGTTCTTACGGTAGTAGTATATAGTTAAGCAGCTGTGCTTAGATCGCTGTGCCGCGCGGCTTCTAGCGACTGCGCTCTCGTTGTGGTGCCGTGGGCATTTTCGCACATGGTGGTCACTTTCGTGGCAGGCGCAGGGAAACCTCGTGTTTTCGTGGTCCAAAGTCGACTTTTCGTGACAGGTGCAAGGGATCGGAGCGGTTGCACTTTGAAATGCAGATTTTGTGGCAGGCGCAGTCCTGGTGCAGTGAATCATGACTTGTGGACATGTGGCTCGTTTGCAGATTTCGTGGCAGGCGCAGCACTTTGTGAACCTCGACGTGCAGATTTCGTGAGAGGCACAATGCTTTGTGAACCTCGAAGCGCGGATTTCGTGGCAGGCACAGCGCTGGGTGAACCTCACTCTCACTATCACTCATTCACACTCACACTCACTTTCACTCTCTCGCCCTCTCACTCACGCTCTCACACACTCACTCTCACACCCACA